GGCCACCTGCGGCCAGATGGAGGCAATCCGGAAGCCTCCCGGGGGCCTCCTGGAAGCAGTTTTGATGCATTTGGGGCACTCTTGGGCTATTTTCAAACCTCTTGGACGTCTCCCAGGGGCCTTTTGGGTCCTCGGGGAGCTTTTGGGGTCCTCGTCGGACCACTTTGGGGCCTCTTGCAGTCTCCTGTGGGCCTTGTGGGGGGCCGCTCTGCTGTTGGGTCGCGTTCCCCTTCTCGGGCCTCTCTTGGGGCTCTTGGGGCCCTCTCGGGCCGTCTTGGGGCCCTCTTGGAGGCCTCTTCCTCTATGTGGGAACGGTATTGGAAGCCTTTGGGGCCGTCTTGGAGCATCGGGATGCCAAAAGGCAGAAAAAAAATACGTCAAAGCCCAATCGTAAAACAATGAGTTGTGCCTCTTGGGGCCACCTTGGGAGATCTCTTGGAGCCTTGTCGGCCCTCTTGGGAGCTTCTTGGGGGCCTCTTGGATCCGATTGGGGGCCTCCTGGGACTTCCCGAGACCCTCTCGGGGTAGAAAGCTCGGATTCTCGGTTCATGTTTCCCTTCTTGGGCCTCTCTTGGGGCCGTCTTGGGGCCCTCTCGGGCCGTCTTGGGCGCCTCAGGCACCGCCTTGGGGCCCTCGTGGGCCGCCCAGGGCCCTCTTGGAAGCCTCTTCGGCTATCTTGGAGCTTCCTCCTCGTCCCCCTCCTCCTCCTCCCAGTCCAGCTCTCTCTCTCCTCCTGATCTTCCTCCTCCTGCAGCGTGTTCCGGAAGGCTCCCGCCGGAACATGCTGTGCACAAGTGCTGTCACTGCTGCCGCCACCGTGCCCTGGGTGGTGGGTCAGAGGCCTCATGGGTGTTGGTTTGGATCTCGTGGTTGGCCTGTCGGGGACGTCGTGAAGGCAGTTTCGCAGCTTCTCGGTAGCCGTTTTGGGACCGTTGTGGGGCCTCCTCGGGCTGCTTTGTGGCCTCTTTAGGCCTCGTTTGGGCCTCCTGGGTGCCTCTTGGGGGCCTCCTGGGGCCTCTTGGGGGCTCCTTGGGGCCTCCTGGGGCACTCTTCAGGCGGCTGGGTCGAATTTTGGAGTCGTGGTCCCCCTCTTGGGCGCATCTTGGGGCCATCTTGGGGCTCTGTTGGGCTGTCTTGGGCGACTCTGGGGTCGTCTTGGGGCCCTCTTGGGCCGTCTTGGGGCGCTCTTGGGGGCCTATTGAGCCATCTTGGAACGTCGGACAGCCGAAAAGGCTGGAAGGCCAAAATCGGTCGAAAACCTTAGTAAAATAAACGATTTCGGCCTCTGGAAGCGCTCTGGGGAGGCGTCTTGAAGCGTCGTGGAGTGCCTTGGGGCGCCTCTCGGGCGGTCTTGGGCCTATCTTGGGCGTCCTGGAGCGGTCTTTCGGCGACTCGGGGCCCGCTTGGGCCGTCTTGGGAGCCTCTGGAGGCCCTCCTGGATTATTTTGGACCTCCCCGGCCGCCCCTCCTCCCGTGGGGGGTCGGAGGCGGCGCCCTCCGAGGCCCAGGACGCGGAAACCCTTTTAAACACAGGGAAAATGAGCCCCAGTACCCCCATGGAGGCTTTTCGGCGCTCTTGGACCGATGGGAGCTCGAAAACTCGAGAAGCCAAAAACATTGAAAAGAACATTGGCTTCTCCGGGCCGTACCGCGATACCTATCAGACTTCTTGGGGTCTCTTGGAGGCCACTTGGGAGCCTCGAGAGCCGTCGGAAGGCTACTGTTACTTGGGCTGCTCGGGAGCGTCTTGGGCCCTCCTGGAGCGCTGTGGAGGCTGCCCAGAAAGGCTGGGGCAGCAGTGCCGGGAGCGCCCCCGAGATGTGGCCATATCTTTTCGGCGCGTTCCAGGAGCATCTTCCCGGAACGCGCTCGTGGCAGGGCGCCCACGTCCGAGGACGTTGGCATGGGAAACCGCAGCGCGTGATCATTCCAGCGCGTTCCGGCGAAGACCGTCTGGAACGCGCTTGGGCAAGCGCTGGGTTTGAGTAAGGCGAGTGGGAACCGTTCAGGCAGTTTGGGATGCTCGGGGCAAGAGGCGGAAGCCATCCTCAGAAGACATGCAGTCTTCCTGGAGCCGTCTTGCAGAAAACAAAAAAATGAGACCCTGCAGTCGTTCCTGGAGCCGTCTTGGAGCCCTCTTGGGCTGCCCTGGAGCCTGTTGGAGCCCTCTGCGGAATGGTCTTGGAGCCCGCGCCGAGGATCTGGAAAATGTACGGGACCATCGCGGCGGCCTCCGAGGCCCGGGACGCCGAAACCCCGTGAAAACACAGCGAAAATGGGCCCCGGTACGCGCATGGAGAGTCGGGCAGCTGTTTTCGGGCCCCTGGGTTAGAACCATCGCGCGCGCTTCGCGCGCGCTCAGGTTCTAGCCCAGGCCGGGGGGCGCTGGACGATCTTGGACAACGCTATCAAGCACAGGCGCGCGACGGCATCTGAGGATCTTCTGGGGTGTTCCGCATGCTTCGTCAACTGGCTGTTGGAGGCACCTCTTGGGTGCCTCTTGGGGGGGCGTCTGAGGGTCCCTTGGGGGCATCGGTTCTGCAATCTGAAGCCGTCATTGGCCGTCTTGGCTGCGTGGAGGCCCGACTTGAGGCCACCTGCGGCCAGATTGAGGCAATCCGGAAGCCTCCCAGGGGCCTCCTGGAAGCAGTTTTGACGCATCGAGGGTACTCTTGGGCTATGTGAAAGCCTCTTGGACGTCTCCTGGTGGCCTTTTAGGCCCTCGGGGAAGCTTTTGGGGTCCTCGTCGGACCACTTGGGGGCCTCTTGCGGCCTCCTGTGGGCCTTGTGGGGGGACCGCTCTGCTGTTGGGTCGCGTTCCCCTTCTTGGGCCTCTCTTGGGGCTCTTGGGGCCCTCTCGGGCCGTCTTGGGCGCCTCAAGCACCGTCTTGGGGCCCTCGCGGGCCGTCTTGGGGCCCTCTTGGAGGCCTCTTCCTCTATATGGGAGCGGTATTGGAAGCCTCTTGGGCCGTCTTGGAGCATCGGGATGCCAAAAGGCAGAAAAAAATAAAACCCGTCAAAGCCCAATCGTAAAACAATGAGTTGTGCCTCTTGGGGCCACCTTGGGAGATCTCTTGGAACCTCGTCGGCCCTCTTGGGAGCTTCTTGGGGGCCTCTTGGATCCGATTGGGGGCCTCTTGGGACTTCCCGAGACCCTCTCGGGGTAGAAAGCTCGGATTCTCGGTTCGTGTTTCCCTTCTTGGGCCTCTCTTGGGGCCGTCTTGGGGCCCTCTCGGGCCGTCTTGGGCGCCTCAGGCACCGCCTTGGGGCCCTCGTGGGCCGCCCAGGGCCCTCTTGGAAGCCTCTTCGGCTATCTTGGAGCTGTCTGGGAGGCCTCTTCCTCCTCCTCGTCCCCCTCCTCCTCCTCCTCCCACTCCAGCTCTCTCTCCTCCTGATCTTCCTCCTCCTCCTGCAGCGTGTTCTGGAAGGCTCCCGCCGGAACATGCTGTGCACAAGTGCTGTCACTGCTGCCGCCACCGTGCCCTGGGTGGTGGGTCAGAGGCCTCATGGGTGTTGGTTTGGATCTCGTGGTTGGCCTGTCGGGGACGTCGTGAAGGCAGTTTCGCAGCTTCTCGGTAGCCGTTTTGGGACCGTTGTGGGGCCTCCTCGGGGCTGTTTTGTGGCCTCTGTAGGCATCGTTTGGGCCTCCTGGGTGCCTGTTGGGGGCATCCTGGGGCCTCTTGGGGGCTCCTTGGGGCCTCCTGGGGCACTCTTCAAGCCGGAGGGTCGAATTTTGGAGTCGTGGTCCCCCTCTTGGGCGCATCTTGGGGCCGTCTTGGGGCTCTGTTGGGCTGTCTTGGGCGACTCTGGGGCCGTCTTGGGGCCCTCTTGGGCCGTCTTGGGGCGCTCTTGGGGGCCTATTGAGCCATCTTGGAACGTCGGACAGCCGAAAAGGCTGGAAGGCCAAAATCGGTCGAAAACCTTCGTAAAATAAACGATTTCGGCCTCTGGAAGCGCTCTGGAGAGGCGTCTTGAAGCGTCGTGGAGTGCCTTGGGGCGCCTCTCGGGCCGTCTTGGGCCTATCTTGGGCGTCCTGGAGCGGTCTTTCGGCGACTCGGGGCCCGCTTGGGCCGTCTTGGGAGCCTCTGGAGGCCCTCCTGGCCCATGGGGGGTCGGAGGCGGCGGCCTCCGAGGCCCAGGACGCGGAAACCTTGTAAAAACACATGGAAAATGAGCCCCGGTCCCGACATGGGCACCTGTCCTGGGGCCCCCGGCCTCGCCCCCAGGGATATATATATATATATATATATATATATATACCTGTCCACCTCATTCATCACACCGGAAGCAGTATGAAATACTCAATGTCAGAAAATAAGCGGGCGGCGGGGAAAAACCTGAAACAGTCACTGACGTATCGACAAGACAACGGTGGCGAGGCAAAACAACGAATGTTAGTCAGTTGGAACTCCACATAAAAAGCTGGCGGCAAATCGTCTTGCAACCAGTGCGGAATTATTATGGCGGGCTGCATGTTGCAATCAATTGAAGAAAGCTACAAGGAATGTATCAAACAAATCTGAATTCAAATAATCATCGTGATAACATGAACACGTAATATATGTATAAAAAAAACGGACGGGACGTCAAAACAAACAAGACAATTAAGACTTGTCCGCATTAAGAGAGAATGCTGATCATATGATTCTCTCAAAAAGAAAACTTTTGAGTTCCCTTGAAGAGCATACCGTGCAACGCGACTCTCCAGAGAAAGATTTACAATTCTATTAAAGGGCGTGCCGCGTGATGCGGAATGACGATGCTTTTCAATTGCCAGCCAAGCGATACATTTCAACCCGCCCGCGGGCGCAACCGCAACCGAAACTAGGCGACAACAAAATGGCGGCAGGCTCGCCGGCCAAAATCAGTTCAAAATGACGGCGACGGGGGAAGGGGGCGCCCAATCAGTACTGCAATGAGCACCGAAGGAACCGTGGTGATCCTCATCCTGTTGCTGTTCCTCCTCTCCCCTATCCCGTGCTCGCTGCGGAAGCGGTCGCCGCCGCAAACGTAGACTGCCAGCCCGCGAGCTCCTCCCCGCGACGCATGGAGCTGTACAGGAACTGGGACACGGCCTGGGGCCGAAGCATGTGGGGTAGGGGGAGGAGGATGATGGGCGAGGGGGAGGAACAGGAAAAGGAAGAGCAGGAGGGGGAGGAGAAGTGCGAGAAGGACCCAGCGAAGAGGAAGAAGGGCGAGAAGAAGGAGGACGAGGAGGTTATGGAGTAGGAGAAGGAGGAAGAGCAGCAAGATGGGTGGAACAGTGCTTATGCTTATCATGATGATGAAGGTGATGGTGATGCTGCTGATGATGATGATGAAGAGGAGGAAGTGGAGGCGGACGAGGAGGATTGTGATGATGATGATGATGGTGATGGTGATGAATGGTGATGGTGTTGGCGTCACTACGATTATGGTGATGGCAATGCTCACGCTGATGCTGATGATGGTATGATGATGATGATGATGATGATGATGATGATGATGATGATGATGATACAATGGTGATGTCGATGATCACGATGATGATGGCGATGATGATGCTGGTGTTGATGCTTATTGTCATGACGGTGATGGTGGTGATGATGCTATTGATGTTGATTATGATGATGCTCATGATGATGATGATGTTGATGCTGATGGTGGTGATGATGATGACCATGACGACGATGATGGCGATGCTGATCATGCTGCTGATGGTGCTGATGCTGATGCTGATGCTGCTGCTGATGCTGCTGATGATGATGCTGATGATTATGCTGATTATGATGATGAGGATGATGAGGATGATGATTGTGATGCGGAGGCGGAGGCGATTGATGATGCTAATGCTGAAAATGCTGATGCTGAAGATGCTGCTGGCAGAATGCGGCCGAGGCAGAATACGGCCAAAACGGCAACGGGAATGGCGAGCGGCGGCAGCGGCGTGAGCGGCGGGGGAAAGGCCTGGGGCTCGGCGGACACTTTCCTCTGCTCCCGCCGCTGCCGCCCTCCTACTCCCTCCTCCTCCTCCTCCTCCTTCTCCTCGTCGTCGTCTCGTAATCACCATCATCATCATCATCATCATCATCATCATCATCATCATCATCATCATCATCATCATCATCATCATCATCACCATCACCATCATCATCGTCATCATCAGTACCAGCTTCAGTATCATCATCATCATCATCATCATCATCATCATCATCATCATCATCATCATCATCATCATCATCATCATCATCATCATCATCATCATCATCGCCATCATCATCATTATCATGATCATCATCATGATCATGATCATGATCATCATCATCCCTCCTCCTCCCTCCTCCTCCCTCCTCCCTCCTCCCTCCTCCCTCCTTCCTCCTCCTCTCTTCCTCCTCTTGCTCCTCCTCCTCCTGTCACTCCCCTTTATTCTTGGCCATCCGCTTAGGGAGACCAGCGAAGAACATCGAATTCCTGCACGCTTACCGAGTATCACCGAGAAACGGCGACGTGCCTCGCCCCACAAAAAAACCCACCCCGACCAAAAAACGGCGAAAAATGCAAATATTCAGTGAACCCCTTCGAGAAAACAACGACGACAACACGCCAAAACATGTAGTACTGGACGACAGGAAAGAAACGAAACAAACAACGGATAGCATGTGATGGCGTATTTTGCACGCGCGAATAAACGACAATGCGAATCGCATGCCTCGCGACATTGAACTAGAACCACGCGCGCGCTTCGCGCGCGCTCAGGTTCTAGCTAGGAGGCGAGCTTGAGTCAACGAAAGTCGCAGGGAAGGGGGCAGGGGGAAGAAGGCCAGAGAGCGCTGAAGGATACAAATGCTGGAACCCTCTTGTGATTTTGTGGGGGGCCTCGTCCGGCCGCTCGCTGGGAGTTTGACGTAGCTTCTCGGGAGCCTCTGAACCTGTCGGGGGCCTCCTGGAAGCAGGTTCGAAGCATTTTGGGGGCCGATTTGGGGCTTCTCGGGGCCTCCTTTGGGCCTCTTGGGGGTCTCCTGGGGCCTCTTGAGGGGCCTCCTTGGGGCCTCCTGGCGGCCTCTTGGGGCGGAAGGCTCGAGCTTGCGGTTCGTGGTCCCCCTCTGGGCCCCCTCTTGGGCCCGTCTTGGGGCCCTCTTGGGCCATCTTAGGCGCCTCTTGGGCCGTCTTGGGGCCCTCTTGGGCTGTCCTGGGGCGCGGTCTTGGAGGCCTCTTGGGCCGTCTTGGACGCGGTGAAAGCCCAAGATGCGAACATGCGAAAAGTATACGTTTTTCCCACAGGAATGGCACGATTTTTGTTTCTTGGACCTCTTGGGGTGCCTCTCGGAACGTCTTGGGCGACCCCTCTCGAACTCGTCTTGGGGCTCTCTTCGGCCGTCTTGGGGCCGTCCTGGGACACTCGTGCGCAGCCTTGGAGCGCTCCCGGAGGCCTCGTAGACCGTCTTGGGCGTCTCTTGGGCCGTCTTGGACGCGGTGAAAACCCAGGAGGCGAACATGCGAAAAATATACGTTTTCCCATGGGAATGGCACGATTTTCGCTCTGGGCCTCTCTTGGGCTGCCTCTCGGAGCGTCTTGGAGGCTTCTGGGACCTTCTTGGTGTCATGACAGGCGTCTTGGAAGGCATCTGGAGCCATCGGAGCGCGTTTCGAAGCCGCCTGCGAACGAGCTTGGACGGCGTCCGGCGGTCCGACGAGCCTCCGGGCCCCCCGGAGCCCACATTTGTGGTCGGGGTCCCGGCCCCGGGCCCCCGGACCCGGTGCGCCGTTACATGTATAAGAAAACACTCGCGCAGCCCCTTCGACTCTATTTGGGACGCATGTGAGCCCTGCTATTGAAGCTGTCGGTGGAGCTCCCTATGGGGCCACGAACTGTGCGATGTGTGTGTGTACCCACATTTGCCAGGGGACACATGTGAACCTTGACACAGGGGCCTTCGGCGGCGCCCCCCAAAAGACCGCGCGCCCCAAGGGGGCCCGCGAACAAGCCGCGGTCCGCATCACGCGCCCCAAAAAATGCCGAGGACCCCCTGAGAAAAAAACGGCGACGAAAAATCCTGCGCAAACTTGGTGCGCTCACCGAGAAAGCGGGAAACGGCGACGCCAGACCTCGGGGGTTTACCCACTGGAGTCTCCGTTCAAGCGGGTGCTCTCCTCCTCCTCCTCCTCCTCCTCCTCCTCCTCCTCCTCCATCCTCCTCCTCCTCTCCTCCTCCTCCTCCTCCCCTCCTCCATCCTCCCCCCATTCTCCGCCTCCTCCTCATCCTCTTCCTCCCCCTCGTCCTCCTCTCCCCTCCCTCCTCCGTCCTCCTCCTCCTCCTCCTTTCCTCCTCCTCCTCCTCCTCTCCTCCTCCTCCTCCTCCTCATCCTCCCCCATTATCCGCCTCCTCCTCCTCTCCTCCTCCTCCTCCCCCTCGTCCTCCTCGTCCTCCTCCTTCTCCTCCTCCTCTTCTCCTCCTCCTCCTCCTCCTCCTCCTCTCCTCTTCCTCCTCCCCCTCCCCTTCTCCGCCTCCTCCTCCGCCCCTCCTCCTCCTCCTCCTCCTCCTCTTCCTCCTCCTCCTCCTCCTCCTCCTCCTCCTCCTCCTCCCCCTTCCTCCCTTCCTCCCCCTTCCTCCCCCTCCTCCTCCTCCTCCTCCTCCTCCTCCTCCTCCTCCTCCTCCTCCCCCTCCTCCTCCTCCTCCTCCTCCTCCTCCTCCTCCTCCTCCTCCTCCTCCTCCTCCCGCGGCGGCCACGTGTCTGCCGCGCGCCGGGAGCACATTGATCGGGCGCTGGCGCAACCCCCCGACCCCAGGACAAGCACGCCGCTCAGCGGCGAGCAAGCCCCGGAGCCGAGGGGGCGCGCCGACCGGGGCCTCTACTACCTCGCATACACGGGAGCACGGCGGCGACGCCCAGCTAGGTGCAGCCGAGTGCGAGCGCCGGTCGCCCGCCCCCGGCGCCGCCCGCAGCTCTGCTCGCGCCGGCCGCCGTCGGGGCCCCGGTGACCCGGCGCCCCGGGCCCCGCGGCCGCGGCCCGCCCAGTTCCCCGCTGGAGCAGCAGCGGCAGCAGCGCCGCGCCTGCCAGCGCCCCTCCGAGCCGCGCGGGCGGCGCTGCGCTGCGCCGCTGGCCCCGCCGCCGCGCCGCAGTTGTCCAGCCGCCTCGGCGCGCGCCCAGCGCCCGCGGCGCGGCGCCCGAGCCCCAGCTGCAGCGGCGCGCCCGCCAGCCGCTCGGCGCGCGCCCCCGGCGCCAGCCGCCAGCTCAGCTGGAGCCGCTCCCCCGCGCTCAGCTCGCGCGCGCGCGACGGGGCGCCGGCTCGGCGCCGCCCGCCCCGCGGCGCGTCACCCCGCGCGCGGCCAGGCAGGCGGAGCGGAAGGCCTCCGCGTTCCCGCGCTGCAGCGTCGCCGCGAGGCTGTGGCGAGCCGCCGCCAGCACGGCGGCGTCGCCGCGCGCCCAAGTGCGGAGGAGCGCCTGCGCCTCCGCCCCAGCGCGCCCCAGCGCCTCCAGCGCGAAGGCCGTAAGAGCCAGGCCCGGGTAGCGCCTGTGTTTGCGCTCCTCTCCGGCTGCCGCGACCGCGCCGTCCCGGACGGCTCGGCTCCGGCCCGCCGGCGTCTGCGCCCAGGGCGGCGTCCGTGACCACCACGTCGACGTAGGACACGCCGGCCGCGGGGTCGGTGAAGACCACGTCGAGGCGGGTTGCCTCGACAGAGCCGTCCGCCCGAGCCCGGTCCCAGGCGGGCACGAACTGCCCCGTGCCAGCGCCCGTTGCGCCCCGGGCCTGCAGCCAGCCGGCGAGCCAGTCCCTGACGCCGTCGTGGCGGTGGCTCGTGCCGCCGCCGACGTGGCAGCCCAGGCAGTGCCCCCGCGTCGCGGCCAGGTCGGCCCTGCAGAGGGCGCCGTCCTCCCGGCGCCGGAGGCAGGTGGCGCTGGCGCCCGCGGGCGCAGGCAGCTCCGCCTCCTCCTCCTCCTCGTCCTCCTCCTCCTCCCTCCTCCTCCTCCTCCTCTCCTCCTCCTCCTCCCCTTCTCCGCCTCCTCCTCCGCCTCCTCCGCCTCCTCCTCCTCCTCCTCCTCCTCCTCCTCCTCCTCCTCCTCCTTCTCCTCCTCCTCCTCCTCCTCCTCCTCCTCCTGGGGACGCGCAGGCCCCTCCCGTGGCCGGCGCTCTCGGAGACGTCCTCCTCGGGGCCCGTGGCCCCCGAGCGCGAGCCCCCCCCCCGTGCCACGCGCCCGGTGTGGAAAGCGCTGCAGCGCCCCGCGTCGCAGGGTCGGCCGAGGGGCCCTTCCGGGGGGGCCGCTGGGGTCGCAGGGCCTCCTCGCGGCCGCATCGCTCGGCGCGTGGGGGCGGGGAGCCTGCCCGCGCCTGCGGGGTCGGGCAGCCACCGCCGGCGGCGGGCGCCAGCTGCGCGTCGCCCCGGCGGCGCGGGGGGGGGGCCTCGACCGAGGCCCCTCGGGGGGCCGCTGGGGACTCGACTGGACGTGAGAGCGACCCTTCGCCGGAGTGACCTCTGGTGCGGGCCCACTCGGGCCCCCCGATGGCCGAACGCGATACGATAGTGGCGCCGCAGATAAGTTAACACAAATCCCAGGATTCCCCGTATTTCCAATGTTTTCTGGGTCTTCGTCTTTCCCCCCCCTCACTTCCCATATTTTCGTATATTTCTATGGAAGCCGACGTTTAGTTGTGTGTGTGTGTGTTTTCCCCCTCCTGACTTTTGGGAAGGAGGAGCACTGAGGGGACGACTGCGACGCAGCACCACTGTACACTCGCACTCCGTTGCAAATCGCGGCACGACCAATGCACCGCCGAGGTGACCAAGAACCGGCAGCCGTCCGTCCTCCACCACGCTCGGGGACCTGGGCCAATCCAAACCTGGATCAGTCGGGCTTTGCAGGATCCTGCAGGGTCCTGCAAGATCCTGCAGGGTCCTGCAGGATCCTGCGCCCAAGCCCGGGTCAATGCGCCCCTGGCTCTGCAGGATCCTGCAAGATCCGGCGCTCTGACTAGCCCCCGTCCTCTGACCTCCGACGTCGTGATTTTCACAACGTCGACCCCCAAGGGTCTGGACCCCTTCCCCGGGACCGGTTTTCCATCCGGAGTCGTTTTTTGACGGCCCCGAGGCCAGGGAAGGGCCCCCCGACGCCGAAAAGAGCGAAAAACCGCCCGTCGTGATTTTGTTCACACCGCGAGGGGCCCCTGGGTCTGGATGAACGATTCCCCCCCGTCTCTTGAGCCCCGCCACGCCCCAGCGGGCCACCTGCTGGCGGCCAGCAGCTCCGCCTGTCGCGTTCGGGGGCCATCCGGGCCGCGGCCTCCTCGGCGTGCCCACAGCCCGAGGGAGGTCCACGACCGTCGCGCTGTGGCCCGCTGTGGCCCGGCTCCTGCTCCTGCTGCTCCTGCTGCTCCTGCTGCTCCTCCTCCGCCTCCTCCTCCTCCTCCTCCTCCTCCTCCTGCTGCTCCTCCTCCTCCCCCTCCTCCTCCTCCTCCCCCTCCTCCTCCTCCTCCTCCTCCTCCTCCTCCTCCTCCTCCTCCTCCTCCTTGGTGGGCAGGGACCATCACGCCATTGAGCGGCAGAGACTGCGAGCAGCAAGGCGCCCATGTCGACTTCGAACCCGAAATGGTTCGCATTGAGATTTGGAAGAAATCCCGGGCGGAATCGCCGTTTCGCATTTGAACCGAATGGGCTTCGACTTCTGTTTTGAAGGGCGTATGCGGCGGAATTGCCATGTGGACTTCGAACCCGACGATTTCGACTTCGGTCGACATGTTCTTTTTCGAGAAAGCCCTCAAGCGGAATCTTCGTTTCGACTCGGGCAGTCCGTTTGTCACTTCAAATTATCGGGTACCCCGAAAAGTCGGACATGTGTTTTTCGCTTGCGACGTCCTCGGGCAAACGAATCCGACCTGATGTGGAAAAAACCGTCGGCCGGAAGTCGAAATGGCGATTCCGCCCCGAATTTCTCCGGAGGAGCGTGTTCGACCGATGACGAAACTCCCTGGTCCGAAATCCAAACTGCGTGAAAATGTTTAGTCGCTGCACGAAACAACGACACGAACCCTGGCAACATTGTACTTCCTGGGGCCCCATCGCCTGACGGGCCCCTCTCGGAACGTCCTACGCTGACAACGCTGCGCCGGGGCTCCACCGCCGAACGGAGCGAGTTGAATTTTGGCCAAACCTTCGGCGAAGTACGTACAGTATGACTTCGAACACAAGAAACCTTCCACAAGAAACCCAACCCTGGAACCCCAGGATGTGCATTGATTCTTGGTGTAGAAACGCCACGCTTTCCATCGCAAAACCATCGAAACCCAGGGCACACTGGAGACAAGCAGGGTGTTTCTTGGCATGGGTCTCCACTGTATTGAAACAAATCTGGGCGGATTTTTTTTCGATGGTTTGGGCGCCTCGGGGCCGTCGCAGTGCCCCAGGACTGACAACAAACGATCTGGGACGAAGAACCAGTCCCCGGGAAGTGGTCCAGAGCTCCAGGGAAACCCGTACAGTAGAAAGACATCGGATGTCTGGGTTCGCACTGGCGAAGCCAGAATCTGGACAACATCGGACCAAGACGACTCGGGCATCTCTGAGATCCGACGCTTCAGGAAGATGCATCGGGCGCCGCAGCCGTTCCAGAGCGCTCCGGAACGCTATGAGAGCGTTCCAGGTCCTGGCCCCGCCCGATACAGACACCCCGTTGCCGCCTGAAGCCGGCTCGGTTGGGGCGCCCGATGCCCCAGGGAGGGATGTGAGGGAGGGAGGACGGATGGATCGACATGGATCGACGGACGGAGGCAGCATCTGAGGGGTCCCAGAACGGTGGTGCGACAAACCGTGCGGTGACCTGGGATTGCACAGCGGCCTCACCGCACGGTCCGTCACCGTACCGTTTTGGGGCCTCGGAGGCCTCAGTCGCCCGAGACGTCCTCGGAGAGCGGCACGAGTCCCAAAACCGTGCGATCACCCCGAATCCCCGCTGACTCACCACACGGCGTGGTCACCGCTTTGGGGGGCCCCGAGAGCAGGGCTGGACCAAAACAGTGTTCTTCGTTTTCGTTTTGTTTTCGTTGTCCCTCGTTTGTCTCTAATCCGCCGCTGCTGCAAAACGGGATCGAAACGAAAACGGCCCACGAAATCGCCAACACACCGTTTAGGTCGACCCCTGCCCAAGGAGTGCGGGAGCCTCCTTCGGTGATCACTGATGCATCCACAGACCTGAGAGCCTTGGCAGGCCTCGTGAGGTGGTTGAAGACCCCTCGCGAAGTATCTACAACCTACGAGTGCGAGGCGGGGATATGTCCATATCCACCGCCTGTGGAACCGACCCTCTGGGACCCCAGCGGGCGGTGGATATGGATACATCTAGGCCCCAGAGGGCCCGCTTTCACTGGAACGTGACGACGGTGCGAGCGAGAGCCCAGCGAGAGGGCGTTTGCCGACTGCGTTCAGAGAGGCTTCGCGCAGCACGGTCCTGGGAGAGAATCAGGCTCCAGCAGATACTGTAGACGAATGACTCCTTTGTGTACGGCTCCGGCGAGATAGTCTGGACTATCGTGGCAGACAAGACCATGCAAAAGTTCGCCACCAACCACCTTGCTGGTAAAATCTCTGCCAGCATCAAGGGTGACGCGGCAAGCTCAGGCATAGATATCGCCCCATCGCCATCGGTATCCACCATCCTGGGCGCGTCTGATGGGACAATCAGCACTCCAACTCTGTCGCTGCAGCATGCGCGCGCTCGACGTCGGTGGTGCTCGTCAGGGGCAACGACAGGGGGGACCCGGAATCGGCGACACATCGCCGACAGATCGGCGCTGGGCCCCGATCGCAAGTCCGCACGCTCCTTGGTGGGATGGGCCGTCAGGCCTCTGTCGGCGATGAGTGGGCGATCGGGTGCCGATGCGCCCCCCCCTTGAGCCCATCCCCAGGTCGGGCATGTCCTCCTACAGGCGGATTTTGGAAGAAAAACTGGCAACAGTCAAGAAGTGCTCGAACATATTCGCAAATAGTAGAAACATCGTCCCCCGATGTTTTGACTATTTTGGAATGTTCCTCCTGTAGGGGGACACGCCCGACTTAACCCTAACGCTGCCCCGGAGTTCGGCGGTTCGGCGGGGCGACGGCGGGGAGCACGAGGGTCTGGCCCCCCCCCCCCCTCCTTCGGGGCCACGATGTCCGCTCGCGAACCCGGGGCGGGCTCCCCCCCAGAACGCCGACCGCGGCACACGGAAGAGGACGGGAGCACGGCCGACGAGTCCGCCGGCGCCCCCCGCGGTGTGACAAGTGCCAATGCCTGAGATCCTGACGCCGCAACTCTTTCGCAACGGCCGTTTTCGCTCGGTTTCGCGGCCCAGGACCTTCACAGACCGATCTGGCTCGAAACAGTGACGCAGAAAGATGGAGTCCGGAGGTCGGGGCGTGATTTTCTGTGATGTTGCAACTTTTTGGGCAACGTCGGATCTCAGGGATATGAGTGCGCATGCTCCCTCGGGGCAGTCGAAAGTGAGATGCTGCCGCTTGTTCTCCACACTTTCCGGTATCCACTGGGGGCAGGACGCGGTCGGCTAGGAAGGGCAGATCGACTCAACGACCCGAGAGAGAAAGGGGGAAGAGTCACGGAGGCAGGAAGATCAGGAAGCCCCGCGCAGATGGGAGTCATCTTTGGCGGTGCTGGCGGACCCTTCCCTGAAGTTCCGAGAAAGGAGTTGTCCCCCACACTCTCGACGGAGAGGCTCCCGTCCTCAACACCGCAGTCACATCGTGGGCCTGCCGTGGGCAGCTGAGGCCACCAATGGGGCCCTCTTGTAAGGCCGCTGGGCCACACGCCAAGGAGTGATTGGGAAGCCGTGTTGCCAGCGTGCTGCTGCCGTGGTAGCCCTGCGTTCACAAACTGCTGTGCCGCCTGGTGCTCGCAGCTGACTTAACATCTCGTCCTTGGGGGCTCCTGGCTGCTCCCAAATCCTCCAGAAATCTCCTGGTTCGCCCTGTGCCCTCAGGGTGACTCCCCAAGGCCTCCAGGGCACCGCGGATCTCGCATGAGGTATCCCGTGGGACTTTTGGAACCACCGGTGGCTACCTGGGCCCTCCTGGTGCTTCCAGCGGCCTCCGTCCACGAGAGGGAAGAAGGGAAGGATGGAGATAATGATGGTGATGCTGGTCACAACGATGGTGATGATGATGATGATGATGATGATGATGATGATGGTGATGATGGTGATAATGATAATGATAATGATGATGATGCTGATGATGATGGTGGCGGTGATGATGATGTTGATGGTGATGATGATGGTGATGGTGATGATGATGCGGATGCTGATGCTGTTGCTGCTGCTGTTGCTGCTGCTGATTATGATGATGATGATGATGATGATGATGATGACTATGATGATGGTAGTGATGATGCTGATGATGCTTATGATACTGATGATGATGGTGGTGATGGTGATGATGCTGATGATGTTGATGATGCTGATGATTTCGATGCATATAATGATGATGATGATGATGATGATGATGATGATGATGATGATGATGATGATGATGATGATGATGATGATGCTGATGATGATGATGGTGGCGGTGATGATGATGTTGGTGGTGATGATGTTAATGACGATGATGATGATACTGATGATGATGATGATGATGATGATGGTGGCGGTGATGATGATGATGTTGATGATGATGATGATGATGATGATGATGATGATGATGGATGCGATGATGATGACCATGCTGGTGCTGAGGATGGTAATGCTGATGATGGTGATGACACTGACGATGATGACTCTGATGCGGAGGAGGCGAAGGATGATGAGTAGGAGGAGAAGGAGAGAGTGGAGGGTAAGGAGGAGAAGCAGGAGAATGAGGAGGAGGAGGAGGAGGAGGACGCGAAGGAGGAGAGGCGGAGGAGACACAGGAGGAAGGAGGGTGCAGGGAACAGGTGGAGGTCGACTGAGACAACGAGAACGGACGAGGAGGAACAGGACGAGGAAGGGGAGGGAGGGAGACGAGCAGGACGGGAGCAGTGCAGGAGACCCGCGCAGGAAGAGCAATCCATCCCGCCCGCCTAGCGGCGCCGAGGCGGGGGCGCGCCTGTGGATTGGCACCAAGGTCAGAGGACTGCCAGGGACTGGCCGCCAGGGCAGAAAATTTAGTCGGAGGACTCCCCTCCGCCGCGGAATCCCCTGGACAACGAAGGAGGGGCTGCTCATCCTCCTCCCGCCTCAGTGCCTCCACCACGCCCAGTAGGGCAGCGCAGGGACGAGGCCCAGCACCGATGAGCGAGAACGCCATGGCCGTGACAACGGGAGCGGCTCGGGCCTGTCACCGCTAACTGGGACCGCGCCAGCGGAGGCGCGCTCGGGATGCACAGGCCAGTGAAGCGCGTCCTGTGCACGCTGCACCATCCGCCGTGAACGCTACGGTTGAGGGAAGAATTTAAGCAACACTCCCCCCCTCCCCCGCAATTCAAAGTTGGCACGTTCCTTGAAGACCACTCGGAGCACCGGGGCTTTAGAGCCCCTCCGGGGCCCCAGGTCCGGCCGAAACATCGGCATACCCGCCCAAAACGGCGACCACGACGTCCCCTGTGTGATCTATCTCGATCCAAATTTCGGCCAGCGCCGAATCATACAGGATACATTCGGCCCGTATCAGAAAGATGCGCGATAAGGATGCAAGCGCCTTGGACGCCGATTTCGAAGCTTCTCGAGTGTGGCACGGACAACGAAAGTGGCCATGGATGGGCCGAGGAGGCAAGGATGCAAGGGCACCCTTGGGAAGGTTGCCCAGCCTTACCATGCGGGTTGACTGTGAGACATCATCCCGTAAGAGCTCCAGGGGCGCATCCTTCGCCGTCCCTGAACCTCGTGCGGTGCCCCAGGGCTCCTGTGGGCCCATCGGGAGACGAGAAGCGCGGGGCACTCGTCGGCAGGTCGACTTCTTCCTCGGTGTGCCTCCCGTTCGGAGCACCGCTCGTCCTCCGAGCGCGCCCGTCGGACAGGGGCCCGCCAGGGCCGTGACGACCGGCGCTCGCAGGACAGGCACATCGGCGTGGCGCGTGCGCTCGGGACCCGTCACAGGAGCGCTCTGGGGGCTGAGGGGCAACGGTGGGACATGTCCCCCCTACAAGCGGATTCTGGACGAAAGGTTGAAGGTGAGTGAGGAGGCCGAACGGTCCTTCATGGTCCCTGGGTGCGTGGCTGAAGTCGGGATCCGTGGTGAGGATTCTGCTTGTTGCGTTGTTGCTGTTGTTGAATATTAATTGCTAAACAATTTGTATTATTGGACCTCTTACAGGCGCCCTGGCGCTCTCGCCGAGGCGCCAGCTGCATTTTCATTGAAAATGAGGCTCACTCTCAAGCGTTTTGGGGGACCGCCCATACCGGCCCCCAAACAACAACAACAACAACAACAACAACAACAACAACAACAACAACAACAACAACAACAACAACAACAACAACAACAACAACAATCATTTTACCCGAACGCGTGGTGTTCTCCCCAGTGCCAGGGTTTTCATACGACACCAGGCAATACCCCCACTTCGTGGGGGGGCATTACAAGCTCTACCAAATATCCAAACGACTCTTCGCGACCACCCAAACCCAGCTTCCCGCCCTATGACGTTGGGACACTTCACTTCGTGGCGTGCGGACGACCGTGGCTACTACACTGGCGTGGGGTACACACCCACAGAACTTGGTCACTTATTCGGGGCGCGCATGTGCCCAGCATGGTGCAATTGTGCCATACAATACATAATACAGAGAGACAGAGAGAGAGACAGAGAGCAGACAGAGAGAGAGACAGAGAGAGCGGAGTTGGTCACATTTTTGGGTCAAGTTCCTGGGATGATGGGAATACACAACTCTGTTACATTTGATAGTGTGCACGACACACATGAGATGATACGTACTCGCAAGATAGTTGGTCACATTTGTGGAATTCCTGGGCGGATGTGGGGATAATATTTTTTTTAAGGATTTCGGCGTGCGCGCGCAAAAAACGAATGTGTCCCGCATGGTATTATTTGACAGGGATGATGGCCCTGGCAGGTGCGCAACCGTTGTCGCAGAAGTTCGAAAAAGTTGCTCGCAAAAGCCCGTTTGACAGAAATGTTTAAAAAGTGTTGGTTTTCCTACGAATCCGCAAGAGCGCGCGGGATGAGATTTTGACATTTTTTGTTGAAAAACCATTGGTTTTTTGATGTTTTTATGTTAAAATCGCTCCGAACACTAAGCTTTTGGAAGGATTTCGTCTTGCGCGCGCGAATGTCCACTTTACCTTATTTTTTGCAAGGGATTCTTGAAATTTGATTATATTAGAACAAGAAATGTCATTTTATAGTGTTTTTTGCAAGGGAAAACGGATTACAACAAAACAACCGGATCTGGATCCCATCGTTTTCTGAGGCTTCCTCACGAAAATGATGAAAATGTAGCTGCGGCCTAGGCGCGGCAGGGGGGGCGCGCACCAGGGGGCCCAACAATAATTATTCTTTAGAATAAATAATGTTCAACAACAACAACAACAACAACAACAACAACAACAACAACAACAACAACAACAACAACAACAATTACTAGCACGTGGGGACACTCCGTTCTCACCAGTGCCAGGGTTTTCATAGGAGGCGGGCAATACCCCCACTTTGTGGGGGGGCGGTTCAAGCTCTACCAAATTTCCAAACGACTCTTCGCCACCACCCACACCCAGCTTCCCGCCCTATGACGTTCGGACACTTCACTTCGTGGCATGCGGACGACCGTGGCTACTATTCAGGGCCCCGCGGCCGACGACGACGGCGTGCGCGCGCGAAGAAAAAACGAATGTGTCCCGCATGGTATT